CCTCTTTGTTAGTGACTCAAGAAACATCAGTTTCTAATCTACAGCCTGGGTTAGTTATTGAAGCAATGCTCAGTTCACATGGAGACATTCCCCTTTGACATCACTTCCTGTATACTTTACATGTGAATATCTCAACAGCTGTTCATCTCAGCGGCTTCAATTATGTTCTCTTTCTAAAATGCTTTCATGTTTAAAACAAAAATTTGATGTTACAGGCACTTTAAAGTCTGTTTATGGGATATTACCTACAGCTCTTGACTTTTGGTGGAGGTTGGACTTTCGATCGATTGATAAATTGACTGAGCACCACACTACAACAGTGTTATAGTGTTGGCATCACTGCAGACATTTCTAATTCTCCTATCATTCCCCTGCTTTCTTCTACTTCCACTTGTGAACAAGACCCCAAGATATTTATAATTCTCCACTTGGGGCAGTAGCTCATTCTTAAACAGGTTGGCCATCCACTTTTTTTCCAGTTGAGGACCATCGCCTAAGACTTTGAGGTTCTGATCTTCATCACTTCATACGTGGCTGAGCATTTTACAAACTGAACACAACTGGAAAAACTTGGAGAATTTAGGTTAAGTGTGGAGACCAAAAATAATTTATGCTCAAGAACAGGGCCTTTCTAAGTTCTAAATAAGTAGCCTATTAGACCCAGTGACAAAATGGGAAATTTTACACATGTAACTGCACCTTAAAGATGCAATACACATTAAAGTACAAGCACCTTTTCCTGTGGAAAAAAAAACTTGCCAGTGTCTACAATTTTCTGCAAAGCACGTGTAGAAATAGAGCTCTGTGTTGCGATGAGTAGCACTCCCACCTTCAAGTAGTTTCTAAAGCTTTATTTTAACTGCAAGAACATGTTGAAAAAGCGTTGCTTATTTTGTGAGTAAATGTTGACATTCTTATGCCAGAGGCGGCGCTGAATAGCCTCCAAAATACCTCACACTTCTCTGTGAAGATATGCCGCCATGAAGGAAGCGGAGCTCAGATGTGCTGTCAAAACCAGCCGTCAACACCTCATTCAGAAAGTGTCGAACAGCGAAAAGGATCTGTGAATGAGAACTGGAGTGAGTTGGGATGAAATGCTTGGTTGTAATTTCCCAGAGATGTGTGTTGTGCAAACTTTGTAGAAATGAAAGGAAATAAACTTGTTGGCAGATGAACTATTGAACACAGAGATAATGTTGACTAAAAGCATGTGGCAGTTGATGGAACTCGGCCAGGGCTTTCAGTGACCAATGAGGTTTGTCGCTGTTATTGTGGCTAAATTTGTAACAAGGCTTTAGGGAAATTGCAAAACAGTGTGTGGATGTAAGAAATGGAGCAGATTAAATAATGATGATACATTTCATAGAATCCTTTTCCCATTTCTTGCATCAGATGAGGAGACAAAACAGAAATAGGAGGAGGGTGTGGGTGGTGGGACAATGACTGAAGTGTGTCTGAACTTTCAGTCCAAACGTGTGTCTGCATTCTCACTTTGTTCCATCAAAGTCACAGTTGTGGCAGATGCAGGACGGAGCGGGAGCAGCTGTTTGGCTCTGCGTTCTCCAGTTACAGCCACTGGCACTGCTTGTGCTCTGGGGATGGGCAGAGGGGCATGTCGTACGAGTGTTTGTTCACCGAGGGTGGGCACAAAAAAGTCCTTAGACCAGCGCTCCAACAATATTCTTGGCACCGGAAAAGAGGGATGTGACCGAAGGTGTCAGATGGAGTGGGACTGCTGACAAGACGAAACACACAGCTGGTCCCTCTCTCACAGGACCTGTGGCGCCATTAATTACTCTGACTGTTGTGACTGAAGCAAACTCAAAATATTATTGGAAAGCACACCATTATTGTTCCTGTGGGGGCAAGTTAGATCAGATAAAACCTGAGCAAAAATTAATTTGACAAACTTTTAGAAGCGTCACATTTATTAGTCAGTGAAACAGACACCGGAACTCTTGCACTGATATTCTACATTAGGTGACACAAGTTTTACATTGCATCTTTTGTTTAATTAGAAATTAGTAAGTGTTTGAGCAGGTTACCTGCTGACACTTTTTTAAATTAATGCTGTTCCTCATTTCTTAAACACACTGTGCAATATGTTGTCCTGGTCAAGTACAAAGAATGGACAGAAGAATTTTGCGCAGGACCACTTTAAAGTAAATGTAGCCTGCTTTTAAATCCTTCTTTTTTCACATTTAAATAATTCAGTTGGGGTCTATATGCTTTGGTCTGAATTCCTCCTTATTGTAACTCCACAAGCCCCTGTTTCACCCATTTTCTGCATTGTGTTGGAACTCATTTTGAGGCTGTCTCTTTAAATCAAAACAAGGCGCTTCACAGCCCGCCCTCCTCCAGCTTCCAGAATGGTCCATTGTACCTTGATAGAGAGATTAATGACTATATAGAAAGTTTTTATTTACAAATTAATTAAATGATGTGAACAAGGGAAGACATGTCCTTCCATCCTTACATGTTGGAGCCAGAGTCTGACCCAGAGTTAGGAAGAACACATTTCTCTGTGGAGCTCCACTATGAGCAGTGATGTTCCCTGCAGTGAAGCCTGATAGCTTAAGTCGAACAACCACAAGGTGGACTGGATTCAATGAGGAAAAGAATGAAGGGCAGAGGCTCTGAAAATGGAAAGAATCTAAGTTTCCAGTCTTCACAACCAGAATCTAACAGAATCACAGAAGCACGAAACCAACCCAGCCAAACTAACAAATATGAAAACAGAAATTTATTTATTTACTTATAATCTTCACTTTTCTGTGATGTCGAAATGACTTTTACTAGTTGCAAGCATTCTCCTGTTGTGAGAGAACAGGTGGGACTTTTCTCACAGTTATGTTTTTGGTGTTTTTGTTTTACTATCCTGTGTCTGCAGTAATCTAACCCTGTTTATTCCAAACTGATTATCGTATTTATTCATATATGATACAATCTTGAGTATAATACGATCATATTTTTTTAGCTTAAAAAGCATTAACAATCTAATCATCAATAGCATGTGTATAATACTACCCCTCCCCCGCCCACACACACACCTTATGGATGATTTTTAAAGTTAAATGTCTAGTATTATATATGAATAAATACAGTAGTTTAAATTTAACTGACAAAGTCTTGTATTTTGTCATTTTTTTGTTGTCATTCTTTCTATTTCAAAGGTATTGCTTAGAAAACTTAAATATATATAAGAAAATATTGCAATTTTCATTCTTAAGTGTTATAATTGACCCTATAAAAACCTAAATTCTTCAGTCAGAATTTGCTACATCTCCTAATAGGAATGGTTAAAATTAAATTCCCAAAGAGCCTCAAAAGTATGGAGATGTGAGGTGACACAAGGAGAAATGTTGTGGTATTGTGCTTCATGTAGAACCCATTTTCTAGGATATTTCTTATTCCTGGAATGATGTTTATTACCAGCTACTATCTGATGAATAAGAGCCTGCTTCAGACATCTGCAATTTCAGTCGTGAAAAGCTTGTCTGTGGTTGCATGTGGTGATGCTCAGCCACGGCTCAAGCTGCCCGGTGTTGTCTTCCTCCCTGTCAGCAGTGTGGGGATGGGGCCGTCAGTGATGTGCACTTACAGTAAAGTGAAGGAGTGATGTTTCAGAGATGGGTAGCATTTCCAGTATTTATCGACTGCTGCGAGGCGGCACTGGATGACACTGCGTTCAGATACATTAGCGGCAGCAGGAGACTTGACAGGACGGAAGCCGAAGGGTTGAAGTGAGGAGGGCAGATGTTAAGGCTTCACCTCGCTCATAGTTGGACACGGATACATCGATCGCAGCCCCAGCGCTCTCCGGGCTGCTTCCTGTGTTTTCATCGTGCTATCATTGAAAGAGCACAAACAACAACGTCAGGGGGGAAGGCTGCTGATAGCTCCATATCTAATGCTCTCTGATCTCCAGGGAGAGAGATTTACATGGGCTGGATGGATGCCTAAAAGTTTATTTCTGGATGCCACTGAACAAGGTTGTTCTCATTGATAGAGAGAAAAAACTTTTGCCATTGTCCCACAGATTCACAGTTTAATGCATATTTTTCATATTGTAATAAAAGTGATATCCTATTATTTATTTAATCCAAGTTGATGCTTTTAAATTCTTCTTTTTCACATTTAAATCATTCAGTTGGGATCTATGTAAAGTGGAACTGCAAAGCTTTGGTCTGAATTCCTCCTTATTGTAACTCCACAAGCACCTCTTTCATCCCTTTTCTGAGCTGTGTCTCAGATCAACTCACTTTGATGCTGTCCCTTTAAATCCAAATGAGGTGCTTCAAACCCCGCCCCCTTCAGCTTCCAGAGCTGTTCATTCCAGTTTGATAGAGAGGTTTACGACTATATCACAGAAACTTTTTTTATTTACAAATTAATAATAATGTGGATTTTGCAGGGAATATGTCCCCTTTAAACTCCAACTTTGGAAATTCCTCCCATATGACATTCAAAAGGAGGCGCAGTTGTATGACGTATTCATATATATGAGACTTCAGTCGAAGAAAGTCTGAACTCATGTTTTTTTCTACATCACTGCACATGACTTATATCGCCAGTGCTCCATAATTCCACAAAGATGTGAAGTATTAAAGCAAACTGTTGCTTATGTCATGTGGCTTTCTGCTCTCTTGCAGACCATCAATCACAAACATCAAGCATGGATTTGTTGCTCCCATTCTGAAGATTTTTTCCATTTTTTCCTACCTTCACATCAAGGCACCTTTTTTTTTTTTACAGCTTTTCGTTATTTCATTTAAAATAACCCAAGTCTCTAAAATAATACATATGCTGTGGCAAAATAAGTGAGAGCCGAGAAAGGGACGGTGCAGTAAAAATATGTGATCCAACATCAAACGGATGAGTGCAACTTTGTTAACATGGGAGTCTAAGTTGCTGAGGCCAATTTGTCAGGAAGCCAGAAAACAGGTGTTAATTTTTCCTCTGCGTGTGTGTGTGTGTGTGTGTGTGTGTTCCTTACATAGAGAAAAAAACATTGGAGTTCTCCCACTGAATGAAATGTCCCTATGGAGGACAGCTTCTCTCAATTAAAGGAAAATGCGCTCACTTGACAAATGAGCTCTGGGTCAGCGTAACAGCCAGCAAAAGGATTTCCCTTCAAGGTTTGTGAAGCTCCTGCATTTCTCATCAGACATGCCAGCAGATGGTTTATCACTCACTCAGAGCCTTCTTAAAAGTAACATGGACATCTCATCTGTTAAAACAGTGTTCAAGCTGTGGATTTACTACAATATTTAAAATTTACAGTGCTTTACTATTGTTTTTATTAAGCTATAAAGACCATTTTTTTACTTTATAGTGTCCCACTATTACAGCAAATGACCCCCAGAGGGAGAAGACAAACACAAAATCCAGTAGCCTACAATGTTTTTATCCCAGTTCTTTGTAAACCCTAACAGGTATTGGTTGTCCCTAAACACACTGATGATGCAGGAAAAATTTTCTTATTCATCAGTCTGGTCTGATATTTTCTTTAAAATAATATTCTTTGCACAATTGTTGTGCAATCAGCATAAGTTAAAACATTTGTAGGGGTTTGTTTAGCTATTTTTTTCTGCACAAGTTAATATTTTGATGCACCATTTTAGGAAAAATACAGTAATTTCTTTTTTGATTGGCAGATATTGTATCCATTGTTAAATCAATTATTTGATAGAACAAAGGCATTATTACTGTTATCAGATGATCAGAAGTCTCATTTTTTACATGGATTAACTAGATTTAAAGGTGTTTGTGCCTTTCTGAACAATTTTTTGTTTACCTACCTCCTCTTTAAAAAAATTCACCTTCCAGTCTGAGTAGGCTGCCTGGTTAGATGTATGCTTTCCATTTAGATGTTATTAATAACCTCACAGTACATTGTGTAGTCCTGGTATATCGCCTTCAACCCACTTGAAAACACACAAAAGTGCTTTCAGCAGCACTACTGTAAAGGGAGGGACATTGGTACGCATGGAAAATATGCACAGACGCTGCCCTCCCTCCCAGCCTTCCTTCTCATGCTCCCTCTCAATCACACAGAGCAGGTACTTTGACCAGAGGCAGCCGACCAACCCCTTCTATTAATTTATTTCTGTGTGATGATGAAGCTCCAAAAGTAAAATTTGTCCAAACACCATTAATCACAATGGCCTGGAGAGTCCAACGTAATGAACAGACCTTTTCTTGGGGCATTCATGGGCAGCTAATTTTCCATTCATATCCCACCTGCCTGTGTCAGTTGGTTCATGAGAGGAGTGAAAACAGTCAGTAGCTGTTCCAGAGGTTGGGTTGGACCCATCTCTTTGTGTGTTACTACAGCCAGAGGCAGGGAGTGTAATAAAAATGTTCCAATGAGCAAATGTCATTAGAAATAACATGGTGGACTTTCAATTTGTCCAGGAATACTCTCAGCTAAATATCCTAATGTACAGTCTTTTATTTCTTGTTATTTTAATGAAAAATAGAACAAAAGAACATGCCAGCAGTCTGATCATGGTTCAACCATCAGAAAATGTCACTTTTAGAACTAAATATTCATTAACTTGAAATGATATGACAGCCTGTAATAATGAAATATATGTTAAACCTTTTTAAATCTGCCTAATTATTCCTTGCCATAGTGAAAGGGGCAGTCATGTACAAAACTTTTAACTCAGTCTTTTTTATTATTATCATTTTTATTTTTTTTTTTACAGATATTGAGCTAGAATTCAATAAGTAGTAGTTAAATGTCACCATAACTAAAATTATTTTTTAATAATTTAGACAGACATCATTTTATGGAATGCTTCTTTTGTCATTTTTAGTGTTTTTACTCTTGTAAATTAAAATAGTTTTTGACAAATTTGAAGCAAGCATTTTTTCTATTTTTGGCATTACTTTCTTACATGCTCCGTAAACGACACTATAAATTATGTACCCCCCACAAACATCACAACCTTTTGATAAACCAACAGAGAGAAATTGTTTTTGATTCACTTCATGTCTGAAAAAGTTTAAGCTGCTCTCTACTCAGTCTGTTTACACAAATTGCATTTATTTAAATTCCACCCTCTCAGTTCCTCACTGCTGGTTGTTTAGTGCTTCAGTGCTTAGCACGACTAATTGGAGTGGGAGACAGGTGGAGTCGCTCTGTAACAATCAGTCTTGTTTGTGGCGAGTCTGTAGCTCACACAAGGCAATCTTCTTTTTTTTTTTTTTTTTTTGCAGACTGAGCACTGGAGGGAGGGTATGAACTTTTGACACATTCCTGTTTGGAGCCCTTTTGCAGCCGGCCGGGCATCACTTCATGTTCTTAACATCCGACTGTGTCCAAGCTCAGTAAGACAAATTAAATCTAAAATAGCCTATGCAAAAGAAAAAAAATGCACTTTTATGTTGTTTGTTCAGATTTTTTGTACACATAAGCCAAGTTTGCACATCTTGCATTGACTCATTGCTCAAATGATTTCTCTGCCCACATTTATTGGAATATGTCTTATCAGCATGCAGCCAATAATGAGCACTTCCTCATAGGTTTGCATGGTTGTTCTGCCCCTCCTCAGTGTGTTCAGTGTGAATGTGTCCACAGTGCTCAGACACGTCTGGGTGTAATGCAACCAGGCAGGTGTGAGGGTCATGGCTAGTTTGTGATCCAGTGTCCTGACCCCCTTGGTCTGCTTTGTCTAACGGCCAGAAAAAACTCCTTAATTAGACTCCTTGCATCTGCAGCGTCCACCCAAACAGAAACAGCTCAATGGAAACACAGAAAATCTTCTCACTTCACGTTTTAAAATTATTTATAGAGCAAAATTTTTATAAAATAATTATTTATTAGAATATATTGGAAATATAATTTGTTTACTGCATGCAAAGGTTGATTAATCAGTTTTTTTTGGCAAAGTAATTATAGGTTCACACATTCAAACACAGACTTCTCAGTCTTCTTTTACCTAAATGTCGTTTCTCATCTGCAACATGGGAATTGACATCTGTGTTCAATGCCAGGTTAAAGTGATCATGTGCCCAGAAAATAAACAGGAACAGAGCTGTGAGAGAATCAGCTGCAACGAGCCTCAGTGACAGCCAAGTCTGCTGAAAAAAACAAGGTTTATTCTGCAGAACCCCAGCCAGGCTTGGCTCATTAACCTGCAGTGGTGTAGAGACGCTCAGGGGAAATGTTAAACCTGCTGTTTTTGGCTGATCTGTTTTGTTGATTGCAGCAGGAAAATACACTCCTTAAAGACAGCTGTAGAGTCGAACAAAAAGCATCTTTACATGGAGTCTTTTGCTGTTTAGTCCTTTCTTTGTTTAAAGTCTAAACAACAGTGAAAATGTTTTGGTGCATTATTTCCCACCACCCCAAAAGGCAGGCAATCATGCATGTGCCTGTGCTTGTGTGCATTATTGATGTGTTAGCAAAATATCTTGAATGATTAAACAGATTTTAAAGAATTGCTGACTTTAGATGGACACCAACGTTAATTGACTTTAGCAAACACAAACATGGCTACGATTTACTGCAATAAATTCTACGTACTGTATATTGTGCTGCAGTTTAGTGTGGTAGTTGCTGAGAGTTCTCCTCAACACAAACTTCAAGTGAAATTATGCAAAATCTTTAACAACTGTGGCATCCAAGGTGGCGGGTGATGTGTGTTGCTTCAAAAAATGCTTGTTCTTGTTGTACAAAGTGACATTATAGAGCTTTAGTTTCAATAAAGTTAAAATAATGTTTCATCAAAAAGTGACTGCTGAAAGCTGTCATAAGAAATTTACTATAAATCAGATTATAGATCATGTTGGCATGTTGAGATTTTTGCATCAAGACAAAGTCTCTATGTCTCACAG